TTCGAACCATTTCGAACCCTTGCCAACCCTGAGCCCGGATCAAGACGAGCCCCAGGAAATTTCATTCGACATGGATTCCGCCTCGAGCCGGAGATAAGACAAGGCAACCTTCGACACAATGGGGTAAATGTCGAGCGAACGGGCTTACCGATTATTTTCCTATTTCTCCAAATTAAGCGTCGTTAAGGGGATGTGGAAGTGCCACCTGAGAGGTCGATCGTTCATGAAACTTTTCGCTGAACTGAGTGTACCGAATCGTTTGAAATTTTACAGCATGAATATGGAGTCTATAAGGAAGGTTCTGACATTCATGAAATTTCATTTTTTATACGAAACTTTTTAAATACCTATAAACAATTTGTTAAAAAATTGAAATTTCATGAGTTTCAGGACCTTCCTTATAGTCGCCATATTCACGTTGTGAAGTTTCAAATGGTTCAGTAAACCGAATTCGGAGAAGAGTTTCATAAACGAAAACTCTTTGACGCCACTTTCACATCTTCTTAAGGTGAAGTGAAAACCTCCTCAAATCAGTCGATTCGAATAAGACACTTTTTTTTTAAGGGTATTTGACCAAACTGTCCGAAACTTTGACGCGTGACTCGTAATCATCTAAGAATTGTCCTGACACATTCAAAATTTGGATTAAGGGTATAAGATTTTTAAACAAACTGACACCTCGCATCGTTTATTATCCATTTGTTTATTTGCATATCGATGCACCAACGTTACTACTATAAACCGTTTAAGATGATATACGAGGTCGAAATGGCGTCTGATGTCCGATTTCTGGTACCCTTGTATCTTGCAGCGGATGATACAAAGAATCTTATACAGTAGCCACATTTGATCTAAACAACATAACTAAATTTTCATCCAGATTATATCAGAAGTTTAGGAAGTAATAATGAAACACAAAGACCCATTCAACCAATCCTACCCACAGAAGCCTAAAAATGTCCAATCATCACAGAAACGTAAAGAAATCTATCTCAGGTAATTTCTATAAATTATTTTCATTTCGCCCTTTTACCCATGATAATAGACAAGTATCCCAATAAAAGGGAGATAATTATTTCGCTGAACTGAAACATGAAGATTGAAAATTGCTCAATTCTTAATTTTTAGTGATGAAAAATGAAAATCCAAAGGTTTACAGCTTAATGTCCTAATAAACGCGTTACCTAGCAACGGGCAGATACAAACGAAAAATATAGACCGTGGTCTCCAGCTGCAAGGAGACCGCCGTGCTCTAGAACCGACATGCTCTATGCAGATTAAAACAACGGCCGAAAGGCGAAAGGAATAAATAAATGGCCCTCGAGGGAAGGGAGGAACCCTCGGACCGGTGACGATCACCTTAGGTCCAGTTCGCCTTATCCGCGCCCAACGGATCATATATTCTCCCCGTCCCGCGAGTTTTTCCGCCCCGCAGCTCTCCGCGCGGCCCCGCCGAGCTCCGTAGTCCGCGTTTGTACAGTGGTAATGGGCTGTCAGCGGCAGACGTTGGCTGCTCGTGCCTTATATACCAACACCGACTCGGTCCTATCCGCTTCGTCCTACCGAACCCTCCCATGCGATCGCACCCCCTCTCCGCGTTTCCTCCATTTCCTCCATTTTCTCCACTTCCTCCGCTTCCTCCACCTCCTCCGCGTCCTTCCCCCTTCCTTTTCCCTCCTCTCGTTCTATCCACCGTTACCGCATCGTCTCTTCGCTCTTCCTCTCGGAGGTTCCGTCTCTCTCCGCTCCGCGGCGCGCCCATCGCGTCTATCCACTTCGGGTCTATTACGTAAAGGAAATTGAGCGAAAATGTGAAAAATGAGTAGCTCACGGTATTACGGAACGTTTCTGGTGGTAAAGATGCGAGACCGTCCATATGAACTGGCTCGGCACAAATTTTTAAACGAAACGGTGAAGCATACAAGAAAAGATAGAAAAATAAGCGCCGTGAACATCTTCCACGGGTTGTGACACCGAAATTCAAAATGGAATACCTCCTGGGTGTTTTGATTTTTGGCAACAATCGTATTCGGGGACGTAATAATAACCTTATTAGAAGAAGAAGCGAATTACGTGATGCCCCATACCCATTTTCGTTAGAAGAATGAGAATTTACTAGGATGTACAGGTTAGTTTTTGTTATTGCGAGGTTATATTACATTATTAAACATTGAAAACTGTTAAATAATTCATGCTTAAATGACATGATAAGAATATTATATTGTTGAACTTCTTATTATAGTTCATGTAAATATGAATGTAATGCATATTTAAAAATTATAGATAGACTCGAGTTCCCTTCTTTACTTTTAACGGCTTTCCATCTTCCCGCCTTTCCTGCCTATAACCCACCTTTATTTGGCAATATTACTAGTGCTAGTGATCTCGTTCTTTCATATAGCGAATACGTAATTCGTGGAATAAATCCACGTGAGATGAAAGTGCGAGAAGTGAGCGCTCTCGTGAAAAATACGTAATAAACGCCCTCGTCTTCGGTTCTCTCCTGGAGGGGAAAGAGGTATTTCCTTCTCTCTCTTCGGCCCACCCTGCGCCTCGTCGTGTCTCTCTTCCTCTTTTACCTTTCCTTTGTTCTAAGGGAACTTCGCCTGTCCGTTCGCGGGTCTCTCTCTTCCTGCGCGTCGCAGGGGAGCTTCGCCCTCGTCCGTCTTCGTCTCGCCGTTCTTCTCCGGCTGCGGGAGATCCTGGATCTGGTTTCGCCGACCTCCCAGTTCCCGCGTCCTCGTCGCCCTCCTGCACCCTCTCCTCGCCCACACCTTCCTCCCGCCGATGATCAATACTGCGAGAATCTGCACGGGACAGCGCGGGGTGCTCCGGGTTTTATTTCGGGGAACGCTACTTCTCCCCGATTTTTTTTTCACCGACTTGCTCTTGGAGGATCCGCGCTTGGCGATTTTGCGTTTCCGGATATAGTTGCCACGTCCCTTTAATGAATTCGTCGGACAAGTCATCGCGCCGATGCTTTTCAAACGGGGAGGATAAAGGTTCTTCTTTTTACTTTCGATGGGTTTACGTCAGCTGATTTCCCTTTCGGCGGCGTAATTGCAATGGTGTTGTGACAAAGATATCGCGTTACGTGTATGCTCATTAATCCTTTCGCGTGGAGGAATATACTACTCTTCTACTATTTTATAAGAATTTACCCCACTCAATTTTATGATTCGTAATATAATTACCTTGCCCGAGAATTAGAGGCATAATTGCAATAGCATTGTAACAAAGATATCGCGTTACGTGTATGCTCATTAATCCTTTTGTATGCATATTAATCCTTTCGTGTGAAGGGATATAGTCCTCTTCTACCGTTTTCTAAGAATTTACCCCATTCAATTTTATGATTTGTAATATAATTACATTGCCCGAGAATTAGAGGCATAATTGCAATAGCGTTGTGACAAAGATATCGCGTTACGTGTATGCTCATTAATCCTTTTGTATGCATATTAATCCTTTTGTGTGAAGGGATATACTCCTCTTCTACTGTTTTCTTAGAATTTACCCCATTCAATTTTATGATACGTAATATAATTACCTTGCCCGAGAATTAGAGGCATAATTGCGATAGCGTTGTGACAAAGATATCGCGTTACGTGTATGCTCATTAATCCTTTTGTATGCATATTAATCCTTTTGTGTGAAGGAATATACTCCTCTTCTACTATTTTCTAAGAATTTACCCCATTCAATTTTATGATACGTAATATAATTACCTTGCCTGAGAATTAGAGGCATAATTGGAATGGCATTGTGACAAAGATATCGCGCTACGTGTATACTTATTAATCTTTTCCGGTGGAGGGATATATTCTTCTTCTACTATTTTCTAAGAATTTACCCCACTCAATTTTATGACTCGTAATATAATTACATTGCCCGAGAAAAATCCGGAGGGATGGATCCATCTGTGCCGATAGCTGGGCTGCGGAATTCTGATATTTTATATGAATACAATATTCATTTGTAGTTTTAAATAGATGTGGATGAAGGGAGCCACTATAGTGACGTTTCGTAATCATAGGGCTAAAATAATTGCGTATCACCATTAGTTTTTCTGGGACTGTTTTTTTTGGACAAAGGAAACGTGTATCGGTCTCTTCAATTTTCTATTCTGTTACCTTTTGTTTCTTTTTTTTTTGCACCGGGTTCAAACTTTCCAAGCAAAAACTACTGAAAAACCTACAGTAGTTAGTAGATGAGTAGTTTGTACATAATTATTCTTTACCCTGTAGTGTCTTCTTTGAAATGGGTTTTTGTTTTTTAATTAAAAAGTTTGTCGTTTTCAATTTTCAGTTGTTACTCCTTTCATTAAGGTTCTAAAATTTGAGTTATATAAAACAAACGAGGTAAATTATGAAAGAATGACCCTTTTATATCACCTTCAGCGATAGGATGAATGGTAAAAATCATGCGAAGATCCGCATTTCTTGTTGCAAAAGTTCCTTACATTGAATGAATATTAATTTGGTGCATTTTTTCTCATCATTTTTTTTTTTGTAGTTTCTTCGTATTTATGTAAAATAGGGGAGTAAAAACAACATGCTACAGTATATGCTACCCTTGCGCTGGAAGAACTTCCGGAACACTTAGAAAGAGAAAGGACCTCTCTGTCTAACCTCCTCATTGTACCTCCACTTCTTCCTATGGCCTCTCCATGTCTATAAGCTCTATGCATGGTACATACCTGTTCTTTTACGTTAAGTATGTACTTCGTAGGGTATTTTATGGAAAAAAATCTCGAGTGAATGCGTTACTGCGCAGCTTTGCTTAGAAGGTAACGTCCGATTGGCTACTTGGATTTGAATACTCGCGCCACCTGTCCACGTCACCCTGCTCTATTCTTACCGCTTTACTCGTAAGAGGAACCAGGGAGGAACCTGTTTACCAACTGCTTTACCGTTTTCCTCGTAGGAACCTGTTTTACCAACTGCGCTCAAAGTCCTCGCCTAGAAGTTCGCGAATCAGCCGCGCGTTATGTGGGGGACCGAAATGTGAGAGGCGAAAAAAGGAAAGAAAAACTTCTCGCTAAAATGGTGAGACGCACGCAACAACCTCGACACTTTTAACAATTAAATGTCTAAATTAGCAGTAAATAATCGCATGTCCCGCAGCCAATATGTGAGTGGGAGTTTGCAGGCGATCGTACGAGCGAGATAAAAAGAGTGGACGAGCTCGCGGGGCAGGAGGCAAGGCACGAGGATCGAAGGTAGGAACGAGACGCTTTGTTTATGGAAATCAGCTGTACCAGCAAACACCCGTGTCATTTTGCTGCGCCGCGCAATTCTGGCCTCTCGAGACCGTCTATTCGCCCCGAGTCCGCGAACCTAGGGAGTAATGCTCGCCGAACAGGTTAACCGCCGGAGACGTCACTCGACAAGGAACGCGTTCCTGGTAAAGAGTGTCATCCCCTGCGAGGGCCGTCCAGAGTGCCTTTGTCTTTGACACACGTCTGGGGATCCTCGCACGATCGCTCCACGCGATGATAAAGACAAAAGGTACGTCAGTTGCTCTCGCGTCGGCCCCCTGTTCGACTCGACTTAGATATCGCAGCTCTACCTTCCATTTAGAGTCATCGGGGAGGTGCAAGGGGTCGTTTGATGGGTCTCGATGAGTCTCGATGAGACGAGCTATTTGTCACCGTATTCAGTGCCCTGTGCCATGCATTTTAGATGTTCGGCGTACGACCACAGACCAGTAGTTAATTACATTTAGTGACATGAAAGAATGAAACGAGATACCGTCATTACCTGTGTGGAGTTGAACCGCAGAGCTAAAACGGTAAGGCTCCGCTCGTCGAATGGGTTTTTTTTCTTAGTTTTATCGTATCACGTGCATGCCACTTGTACACCGTTCTTTTACGTGCTCGGATGTTTCATATCTTAAGCTTGAATTCGATTCGATTGCAATTTATTTGTCGTAAGAAGTGATCGTGAAATGCAAAATGGAAATAGATTGAGTGCCTTTGAATTTATCTAGGTCCGAAGCATTATTTCTCTTTAGCATCTAGTTCGATAAGATTATTCAATTTCAGTTTGTTATGCTTCCAGAAGTATGTTGAATATCTTTTACTCTTTGTTCCGTGTAACAAGGTCTGTGCATCTCTTCGTAGTGGAATATACAATTATAATTTGCCTATCGAGAATATCGTACTTTTTATATAGAGCGTGGAAGTTCACTGGATTTTATGCTTTTAATTTTACTTATTTATGTAGTATATTTGTAGTTTTTGTAAATGATATCGCTTGTAACATATGAATTATTACCACAGATGACCTCTGTGCTGGATGGCAGCTACCAACAATTGGAGCTCTACACGGAGGGCGGCGGGGGAGAAGATAGCGACGAAGATGGCGAAGAAACACCTCAGGAATCGGGGGTGATGATTCATGTAGTGCCAGAAGGGAACAAAGCACGATGGAACCATATAGAAGATTTAGACTCATTCTTCACGAGAATGTACCATTACCATCAGAAACATGGTTTTGCCTGCATGATGATACAGGAATTCCTCGAGCTCGGTCAATTTATCTTCGTGGTCACCTTCTCAACTTTTTTATTTAACTGTGTCGACTACTCAGTGCTGTTCAAGTAAGACTATCAACACTTGTCTACTTCAGGATGTAATCAAAACACTGATAATAATTCGTCTCCTTTGCAGGAACAACGTAACAAATAACACGTCGCACAAAACATCGTTAAGCGATGCCATTTTATCAGCAGGTACTTGTATAGCATCGATGAATTTGGTTACGTGGATGTGCATAACAGTGGCTGTGATATTCTGGATTTTACGTTTCGTCAAAGTCTTGTACCACCTTACCCAATTCTGGGACATTAAGTTGTTCTTTAACGTCGCCCTCAAAATTGACGACTGCGATTTGGACAATCTTACCTGGCACGAGGTCCAGAAAAAAGTGATCGAGGTTCAAAAGGAACAAGAGATGTGCATTCATAAGCGAGAGCTCACAGAGTTGGATATATACCATAGGATATTACGATTTAAAAATTATATGGTTGCCATGATTAACAAGTCGTTGATACCAGTGAGATTGAAGTTTCCCGTTATCGGTGAAATCATCTTTATGACCCGAGGCTTGAAATACAACATGGAGCTACTTCTGTTCTGTGAGACTTTTAATCCTTGCATAAGTTAAATGATCTCCGATCGTTCGCCAGAATCACTAGAAAGTATATCCTTTTATCCACAGGGGGTCCATGGTCGCCTTTCGAAAACAATTGGCATCTCAAAGAGGACTACAAGAAATTAAATAAAAGGCAAGAACTAGCCCGAGTGTTATCCAAGCACATATTGTGGGTGGGAATCGCAAACTTTGTACTCTGCCCTTTGATCTTGCTGTGGCAGATTTTGTACTCGTTCTTTCACTACGGCGAGGTGAGTGCAACTTGTTCTTAATCAGTTAACCGCGTTTGAGGAATATACACGTCAAACCAAAACTGCATTTTGTTAAATTCTGCAGTTAAGGTGAAGTGATATCCCCTTCAAATTAGTCGATTCGAATACAACACTTTTTTTAAGGGTATTAAACCAATCTGCCCGAAATTTTTACACTTCACTCCTGATCATCTAATTGTCCTGACACATTCAAAATTTGGATTTTTGGACAAAATTGTTTAACTTAGCCCAGACCAGGACCAAAATGGCGTCAAGCTCTCATATTTCGATCAATATACAGTTATCGAAAGCTCTGATATGTGAGATGAAAGGGTCAGGACAATTTTACAACAATTTAGAACACTTTGGTAATCGATAAACTCGCCTTTGAACGGGCTAAAGGCAAAAAAAGTGTTGCATGTGCTTCTATGCTAAAACGATGGTAATACGAGGCCTCGGAGTGAAAATTTAATTGACCTGGAAATCACAGATGGCGCAGGGGGTCCCTTTGCAGTCAATTAGGGCCCCAGAAAGCATGAATCCAGAGGATTTCTGGAGTTTTACTTCGATTTCTTGATATTTATCGTACGAAAACGACAGGTGGAGTATGCCATTTGCTACAATACCCAATATAATTTGATACAGCTGTCAATATAAAAACGAACGTCGACAACGTAGGTATTTAGAAAAATCTTCTTGATCGACGTCGATCAAGTTCCTCGATGTGTTTCACTTCACCTTAACTGGTTAACTCTTTCCATATGGCCATACTTTTCGCTGTGCGGGTACGCGAATCGCGTATACAGCGCTTTAGTACGGGCCGACAAAAGATTACCGTAATCAAAAAGTGAAAAGTAAAAAAATTCAACTAAAGTTATGAATCAATGCGAAATTTTAACAGCGAGCATACAACGATACGTGACTATAGTCACCCATAGAACAGCTGTATAATGATGGGTGACTATAGTCAACCATAGGACAGCGATCGTGCGATGATGAGTGACTATAATCACCCGTAGGACGGAAAGTGCTGAGGGCCCAGTAAAGTCAGGTTAGCCATATTGAATTTTGATGTCAGAGATTAAGAAATCGCATAAAAATCCCAATCGGTATTCTACGAAGCGAATTACATTTTCCACTGAAGAGTACGATACGAAGACCCTAGGTGTTAACGAAAAGTGTCAACCGATCAGTTTATTGCAGATTGTGCACTGCAAAATGAGATGATCTCCGAAAATGGACCCGTTAACGAGGTTTGGATTCTAAGGCGATAATTCGACAGTGGACACAATGTCAACGCAAACACGGGCCGGCTGACGTATTTTATGCATCCACTGATTATTACGGTCATATTTCGACGAAAATGTGAAAAATGTAGCCGAATGATGGTTGGGAATTTCACGGGATTTTCTCGCGTTTGACGTCAAAATTCAATACTCCGACCTGGCTTTATTGGATCTTCACCCGAGAGGTCGGTTGTATAGGTAAATGATACCGTTTCATTTTCTCAGATAATAAAGAGAGAACCTGGCACCTTGGGTACTCGAATGTGGTCTCTTTACGGTCGCCTGTACCTCCGACACTTTAACGAACTCGATCACGAATTGAACGCTAGACTTAATCGCGCCTATCAACCTGCATCGAAATACATGAGTATATTCACGTCCCCCGTCGTAACCGTAATCGCCAAGAATGTAGCCTTCGTGGCAGGCAGCATCCTGGCGGTGCTGCTGATTCTGACAGTCTACGATGAAGATGTGTTGACAGTGGAACACGTGTTGACTTTGATGACTATTCTCGGTGCTTTGGTGGCAGGAGCTAGGGCATTCATACCGGATGAAAATTTGGTTTGGTGCCCCGAGACGCTGTTGACGGCCGTCCTTGCTCATACGCACTACAGGCCCGATAGCTGGCGAGGTCACGCCCACACACAATCCACCAGAGCCCAGGTAGCTCAATTGTTCCAGTACAGGGCAGTCCACCTCCTAGAGGAACTGGTGTCGCCCCTGTTGACTCCGTATATTCTCTGCTTTCGCATGAGGCAAAGGTCCTTAGACATTGTTGACTTTTACCGCAACTTCACCATTGAAGTCACGGGTGTTGGAGATGTGTGTAGTTTTGCTCAAATGGACGTGCGCAAGCATGGTAATCCCATGTGGCAAACTGTCGCTCAGAGTCCAGTTGACGATCGGTCAGCTGGGTTCGATAACTACTATGGGATCGATCAAGAGAAACTCCACGTGCCCATGTCGAATCAGTACACGCAGGCTGAGGATGGGAAGACGGAACTCTCCTTGATACACTTTACCTTGACTAATCCGGAGTGGAAACCCCCGAGTCACGCGGAGGATTTCGTCACTGCGTTGAGAGAAAGGGCCAAGAAGGAGGTTAATGCAGTTCCCTGTGATATTAATCCCCTGTTCACAAGCCTAAATAGTTTATCCGGTTTAGGACCTGGGGTAAGTCTTGCACCTGTATCTTCTATTTTTACCGATCTTTTGTAAATGTTACAGAGTTTAAGAGGATATGAAAGGCGCTAAGAAATTTAACCGACGTCGATAATGTAAAATTCATCTAAACCCTTTTTGGTGGGAATGCCGTTTTGAATAATCAAGCGGTAACATAAGCTGGCGCGTCCCGTTACCGACATTTATATTTATGTTGGTTTTTTACAGTTTACGTTGAGAATTATACTAACTGAAGGGTTCTATATGTTATTTCGGTAAAGTAATGATAAAAAGATCGACGTAAAACTGCCGAGATCCCATGAATTCATGACTGTTTATATTTTGACGGACCAACGTCGCCATCTGTGACATTTAGCTGCAACTAAATTTTTGCTCTACAAACACGCGTTAGCCGCAGAACAAGCCAGCATTCTCTTACAATCGTTGGTGAAAGTGTTTGCCACATTTTTCCCACCTGACTCTGTAATATTCCATTTATACAGTATTCCAAGTTGTTCGAGCTAGGTCTGGAAACTGTTTATTTCCGATTCTAAGCCTCCAAGAAGCGTAAAACATCGAAAACGAATCGGTACACCCAATTCGGAGAATACTTTCTCCAACGATTTGACTTCTCAGATATATATATATATATACCTGAGAGTATATATATATAGGCTGACTCTTTCATATCCTCTTAATTCTGTCTAAAAGCCTTCATTATAAATGACTTGAACAAGCTTTTAGCTTTCGTCATCGAGGGTTAAGAAAAAGAAGACCGTGTACATCTAAAATTGGAAGAGTTTCGATATTATATCTGGGAGAACTTTGGAATACTCTTTGCATAACCGCAGCGTCGATATAGTATTCATAACTTTGTATTAAACCAAAATTGGAATATTAATACCGAGTTAAGAGGGTTCGGCAACTAATTTATTATCCAGTGAACTTAATTTACTTAAACACCTTAGTCATTCGCTATTTTTTTGTTAAGCGATATGTCGGTGTTTTGGATATTGCCGAAAATGTTAATTTATAAAAATACCATGAAATTAGCTTTTCTCCTTAACCCCTTGCCTTACGATTGAAATTCCAATAGTGCGTGCCATAAACAAGAAAAATGTCGGTCATACATTGGGCCATTTCACGGTTTGGCTGAACGTTCAAAGTCTCACACGTCTCTCATACGTTTTATTTACGTTTAGCCCGATTGATATACCACGTCTCTCACATGTTTTGTTCACGTTTGGCTCGATTGATATACCACGTCTTTCACACGATATTGTAAATGGGGTTGAGTGAATCTCTGTAATTGACCCATCATATTTTTGAAACTTTAGTAAGATCGTTTTTAAGGTAGTTTGTAATGGACGAGTTAAGTGGATATTCATATTTGTTTTTGCGTTTCAGTACAACGATTTAGTGTCTAGCATAATTCGCAGTACGCAAGTACATCATGTGAGCGTGCCGAGCATGAGCCACGTTTTCAATAATGAGCCAGGAACTTCTAATACTGATGTTACCCCCGAGCAAATCTCCAGTACAAGATCCGATAGTCTTTCTCGAACTGTTCGACGCGGCATGAGAAAAGCCGAAGGAACTTTGTTCAATGACAAGGGCCTGCTGTACGGGCTGCAACAGGGAATGTCTAATCAATCCCTTGGTGCTTCGGTCTTTGGGTCTGGACACGAATTGTCAAGCGATCTGACCGTTCCCATAGAATTTACTGCTGCCGATATGTCCTTATCTACATTGTACCTGCACGAGCTTCATCATAGACAAGTAAGGCTATTCATTTACATTTCCTGAATGAATGCATGAAAAAACATTGAGGGGGTTCATAAGTGACAGTTTATTAATTGTTATGTAGCTTTTTCTACGACTTTAAGGTGAAGTGAAACAGGTTGAGAAATTTGATCGACCAGTTTCTGGTAAAAAAGATTCTTTTAAATACCTACGTTGCCGAAATTCATATTTATATCGGCAGCCGTGTCGAATTATATCGGGTATTGTACTATATGTCGTCACCAAAATGGCGTCAAGCTCTCATATTTTCGATCAATATACAGTTATCGAAAGCTCTGATATGTGAAACGAAAGGGTCAGGACAATTTTACAACAATTTAGAACACTTTTGTAATCGATAAACTCGCAATTGAACGGGATAAAGGTAAAAAAGTGTTGTATGCGCTTCTATGCTAAAACGATGGGAATACGAGGTCTCGGAGTGAAAATGTAATTGACCTGGAACTCACAGATGGCGCAGGGTGTCCCTCTGCAGTCAATTAGGGCCCCAGAAAGCATGAATCCAGAGGATTTCTGGAGTTTTACTTCGATTTCTTGATATTTATTGTACGAAAACGACAGGTGGAGTGTGCCATTTGGTACAATATGCAATATACTTCGACACAGCTGTCAATATAAAAACGAACGTCGGCAACGTAGGCATTTAGAAAAATCTCCTTTATCGACGTCGCTCAAGTTCCTCGACGTGTTTCACTTCACCTTAATGTCTAAGGAGATAAGGATGATTTTTGCTACATGGATGTGTAATAAATGAGTAATCGAACCATTAATCCTAATTCCAGGTAAAAAGACGTGGCTATCAAGAGATGGCCACAAGAAGTATATGGCAGCGAAGTCCCGTCGAAGAATTAGCTACTCTTCCCGAAGTCAGACAGGAGAGGGCTCCTTTATTATTGCATCAAGACTCGTCGATCAGAACCACCAGGGAATCCTAGCACTACGTTTAGACGTTCATCTAGCTAACGGTTAGCTTATTTGCGTAATGATGATCTTTTTAAAATAAACATATTTTTATCTACTTTTACGAGGATGACTTTCTGACTCATTTAACACGACTCTCGAGGCTTGACGGGAGCTAGGTGAAACGCTGTTCTTTCATGCTGGAAGGTACTTCAGATCGCTTTCAGTCGTGTTTTGTAAATTAACACTAATGATGCCTATGCTCCATAACTAGGGCCTACCTGCAGGGTCCGTTCGTTTCTCTTGAACAGGAAAGAAAGAAAAAATCTATACTAAGGACTTGCGTTCCGAAGGGGAATCCCCCTTCGACTGTTCACTACACAAAATATTTTTAACCGATCCAGACGTTAACGCGAGCCGCATAAGTTAACCCTCTCAGTCCTGACGTCATTTAAACATTCACGGAGCACTCGAACCTGCCGATGGACATTCTTGGTTTCCAAATGTGAAAATGTCCATCGCAAAAACCGACGGCAACGGATGATGTGGCTAAAAAATATTAAAATCGTACAAATTCGTACTCTCTACGGGAAATTAACAGTGTACCGTTGGAGATAATATATTCTTAGGTTTTTTTTAGTGGTTGTCTTACGTTTCAAATTTGTAAGGGTCGATGGATGTGTACGAGTTGTATGCAAAAATGATTCCAAGCTCGGAGCGATCGAAGACTCGACGTCAAATTGATTTCGAAATTGTCGTTTGGTCTGGGACTCACAGGGTTAAACGAGCACTGTAAATTCGGCAGGCTAATTGTAATAATAAAAATTGTCGAGATGTTATTGTTTCTCTACCGGCGGATGCGACAAGACAAAGATTGTATCAACCTCAACGGCTGTCCACGCGAGCTCGGCGCTTCTTAATGTTTAAAACTACTTTTCAATGCCACAATTCTCTAGTCATACAAAATTGAAGCTATGCCTTAGGATACATAACGACGTCTTGCTTAAGTAAACTAATTATTTATTCTCACGGCTGTGCAGCGTGATAGGTAAACGTTGCATACGAAGTGTAATCTTCTCGACTGTTTTACCGGGCCAGAAGTACCGATATAACAAGAGTCTCGTTGTTATGACGTGGCTCGTCCTGAGATTTTTTTATCGAGGGATTTATAGTTTTTATTTAACTCCTTAGTTGTGTGCAATCTTGGAAGTTCCGATCGTTACAAGTGTCGGAGCGAATTGTTACTTTATTAGGAGAAGGACACTCACCGATTTAACCATCTTCGAATTGACATCTAGTAATTATTTGTAACCGCGAGGCTTATCGCTAGACAAATCTTGTATCAATGTGATCCACGGATGAACTAATCTTACACTTAAGAGTTACGTGTACCTTTAAGGTTATAGGATGAATAAATTCGTTTTGTAATAGTCACTGCCAATTATTGCCCTCTCGCGCCGCAAGTAATTAGATCTAAGGATTAGATTTACAGTTTTAAGGTGAAGTGAAACCCCCTGCAAATCAGTCGATTCGAATACAACACTTTTTTTTAAGGGTATTAGAACAAACTGTTCGAAACTTTGACACATCGCTCCTGATTATCTAAGAATTGTCCTGACACTTTCAAAATTTGGATTTTTGGACAAAATTTTTTAACTCAACCAAGATCAGAACCAAAATGGCGTCGAGCTCTCATATTTCGATCAATATACAATTATCGATGGCTCTGATATGAGAAACGAAAAGGTCGGGACAATTTTACGACAATTTAGAACACTCTAGTAATCGATAAACTCGCATTTGAACGAGATAAAGGTAAAAAAAAAGTGTTGTATGCGCTTCTATGCTAAAACGATGGGAATACGAGGTCTCGGAGGGAAAATTAAATTGACCTGGAAATCACAGATGGCGCAGGGGGTCCCTCTGCAGTCAATTAGGGCCCCAGAAAGCATGAATCTGGGGTTGGGCATGATTTCTGGAGTTTTACTTCGATTTCTTGATATTTATTGTACGAAAACGACAGATGGGGTATGCCATTTGGTACAATATCCAATATAACTCGACACAGCTGTCAATATAAAAAAACGAACGTCGGCAACGCAGGCATTTAGAAAAATGTTCTTTATCGATGTCGATCAAGTTCCTCGACGTGTTTCACTTCACCTTAATATAGATCTAAAGGTAGGACGTAACTTCATAAGAATATTTGCGAAGAATATATATTTCCGGTTAACTAAATTTATATGAAGAAACTGGAATGTTAGAAGGTTAGGAGAATTTCAAGTAATTGTTAATGGTTAAGTAATGACCGTAATGTTCTCGCTTCGTTTACTTAATTTGTACTTTGTTTAATATACGTACAGTTTTATTTCGCGTTATGTTTTCTTATGGAATAGTTATCGTCGGCGATGTTATTTGATATTTCGGAGCAAAATGAAGTGCCATCTTCGGAAATTTGTTGATAACAGTGACATATATGTTCACGGAATCCAGAGAAATTTGATTTAAAGAAGGAGACAAAGTACAGGCAACTATGCGAGCGTCTGTTGTCACCGATAACTGGCTTTTGTTTCGAAATATGGAAAAAATTCCTGCAAATACGGCGGCCGGAGATGTGACGAAATACAATTTGCGTTGCATTAGAAATGTCAGCGAGAAGATGACAAAGAAGGATTTCATCTACGACATGCGTAGGCCGATGCAATGTCAAAGAAAGGTACAAGAACTTCCGATAACGTTCGTGCAACATTTCTTTCTTCTCTTTGAAATTACTTGGATCTTTCTTGCTTAGTTTCCTTTCTTCATGAAATTCTTTGAACCTTTCAAGCTACAGGTAGTCTCTTTTTTTGTTTTTGTTTAAGAGCCTGCGGAACAAGATACGCTACTCAATAGTGAAATTAGAGATGAATGCGACAGGTAGTCGGTACTATATTATACTCATTTAATCTAATGAAGAAAAAAAGAAAAAAAAAGATGCGGAGAAGGAATTGTCTTGGGTGATCCCTTATCAATATAGTCGCGAAAAGAGATCGATGATATGAAATGTAATTGTTGGTCGTGTTTCCTTGACGCTGATTGGTTGTATTGTTACTTAGTAGCCATTATATTCAAAGAAGTTAACAATTCGCCACGTATCGTACCCGATAGAAAGTTATTTCTTTGAAAGGTTTTGTTAATGATATCTTGCGACGAGAGCTATGGTCGCTTATCTGCATACTCTATTTGCAATTTATTGTTTCTCATAAAGATAGCAGAATTTAATAATGAATGTGTATACTTGTAATTTCGAGATTTATATCAGTTAATGTTAATTATTTGTACTCCGAGTCTTAAACTCGATTCTACCAATTTCGGTTTGTTAACTGAGGTTGTTAGGTAATCCTCGGTTACAATGAGTTGTGCGTTTACTTTGATATACGTTTAGATAATCGTTTACTTTAACACACGTTTAGATAATCGTTTAATTTAACACACGTTTAGATAATTGTTTAAATTCACACGTTTAGATAACCGTTTAATTTAACACACGTTTAGATAATCGTTTAATTCAACATACGTTTACATAATCGTTTAATTTCATACGTTTAGATAATCGTTTAATTTCACAGATAATCGTTTAATTTAACACGCGTTTAGATAATCGTTTAATTTAACACACGTTTAGATAATCGTTTAATTTCACACGTTTAGATAATCGTTTAATTTCACACGTTTAGATAATCGTTTAATCTCACACGTTTAGTTAATCGTTTAATTTCACACGTTTAGATAATCGTTTATAATTCCACACGTTTAGATAATCGTTTATAATTCCACACGTTTAGATAATCGTTTAATTTAACACACGTTTAGATAATCGTTTGATTTAACACACGTTTAGATAATCGTTTAATTTCACACGTTTAGATAATCGTTTAATTTAACACACGTTTAGATAATCGATTATAATTCCACACGTTTAGATAATCGTTTAATTTAACACACGTTTAGATAATCGTTTGATTTAACACACGTTTAGATAATATGGAAACTTGTCAACGCCCTGCTCATGTTGGAATAATTCAGCAGTGCTGAGTTGTTTATAATGCAACTGAATTGTGCTGTTAAAAATTGTCAACGTGTATGACGCATATAATGCGAAAGATAATTGCAACTGAATCACGGGGACTAATCGCGGGGATTTTTTACTGCGGCCTCAATTGTATGACTAAATAGCTGCGTACAGTTATGGGGAATTATATACAATGTACTGTATGCAATAGTTGCGCGACTGAATTGTGCTGCTAAAACTCGTCTGAATTCTGTCCAACGTTATCGGCATTTCGACTGATAAAAGCTTCGAGGGCAAAGAGTAGAAACGTAGAATTGAGAAACTTGCAATTTCAAATTTGGCGCCAGTGGCGATAGCAGGAAGAGCTTTATATTATGCCAAAATGTGGTATGAAAAGCGAGGTCTCCACTGCAAAATGTGATACAAAGGTGTACGTTGAATTTCTTTATAACTGACCACTATTATGGACTTTAAATATTTAAAAGGCGTGTAATTGTTAAACGTACACATATGTTCACCTCAGCTCTAATTTTACGCGGACGTTGTTTGAAAAATGGAAAAGCAAATATCATTTTAATCGCCATCCTTGGAAAAAATCTTTCCATTTGATTTTAAAATAGAAAAAGATATTAAATATCCCTATGAAGAGAATAATGAAAGCGGAGACATTATATAGGATTTATACAAACTCTGGGATTCGGAAAGCTTGAAAATTGCACTTGGTTTTTCTGCCGATCAGCTGGAATCGATGATTAATTTCGGGATCGATTTGTACGATATTTGTTAAATATATAAAAAATATAAGACACATATTTTGTTTGTGCTATTAGGGCCTCTATTAAAACCATCCTTAACAAACATGAAACGATGCAAAAAAAAAACTAGGCTGCGTTCTGCCAAACGAATTTTCATACCCTCCAAATCTCTCATTAATGTGTGACGTATCGTTATTTGGAAAACATTGTATTGGCTTAAAGTCTCCCGACACTATAAATTTCAATTTCAAGCCAATATCAAGAATAATCCCGCAATACTGAACGCGGCCTCTTTTAAATTCTTTTCAACATCTTTTGAATTCAATCAGGATTGGTAAAATTGGGATTGCGAGAACCTCGAAAATGTATTCATTTAAAAATGGCCCATATCATTCGAAAGTCAGATTTTTCTCAGGAGCCGTTCTCAGAAATTGTAATCGCGACTTCGGCACCGCCAGCGGCCGCAGGGGGAACTACCGATAGATAAGCCGATAAAGAGCAGCCATTGCGCAATCAGGCTTACAAGAAACTGAAAATCAGAGGAATTTAATTCCGAATAGGAAATACCGTTTAAACGTATGTCCGATTACCAGAGAACGAATCAATTGCTCGAGATGCGACTCTATTGAGGCATCGTTTTTCCCCATTTTTTAGAATTAAACGCGAGCTGCGCGTCTGGATACTTTCGGACCCACACACCGCGGTTTCGGCTGTTTTACTCCGAGGTTGGGCATAAAGGTAACTCTTCGCTTTTCAGTTCGTCGAGCGAAGACGGCCCATCGTGCTGCCGATCCAGCTTCGCCGGAAACAGAGTACGAATTCGAAGATGCCACAGTATACTGTCATTTCGACTAAGGGGGAACATGGCGGCAGTGGAGACGCGATTTTGGTAAAATTTCTACGATAATTCAAGATTTGACAAAATTAGTTTGAACGGGTTTGAAAATTCGGTTCCTCGTTTCGACTAAGGGCAGTGGAGACACGATTTTGATAACATTTGTACAATTCACGATTTTCCAAAATTAGTATATATGGGTTTGAAATTTCGATTCCTCATTTCGATTAAGGGCAGTGGAGGCACGATTTGGGTAAAGTTTGTATGACGATTCACGATTTTCCAAAATTAATTTATGCGGGTTTGAAATTTAGGTTCCTCATTTCGACTAAGGGTAGTGGAGACACGATTTTGGTACATTTTCTACGACAATTCAAGATTTGCCAAAATTAGTTTATATGGGTTTAAAATTTCGGTTCCTCGTTTCGACTAATGGCAGTGGAGACACGATTTTTATAACATTTTTACGATAATTCACGATTTGACAAAATTAGTTAATATGGGTTTGAAATTTCGGTTCCTCATTTCGACCAAGGGCAGTTGAGGCACGATTTGGGTAAAATTTGTATGACAATTCACGATTTTCCAAAATTAATTTATACGGGTTTGAAATGTAGGTTCCTCGTATCAACAAAGGGCAGTGGAGACACGATTTTGATAAAATGTTTACAATTCACGATTTCCCAAAATTAGTATATATGGGTTTGAAATTTCGGTTCCTCATTTCGACCAAGGGCAGTTTAGGCACGATTTGAGTAAAATTTTTATGACAATTCACGATTTTCTAAAATTAATTTATACGGGTTTGAAATGTAGGTTCCTCGTATCAACAAAGGGCAGTGGAGACACGATTTTGATACAATTTTTACGACAATTAAAGATTTGCCAAAATTAGTTTATATGGGTTTAAAATTTCGGTCCCTCATTTCGACTAAAGGCAATGGAGACACGATTTGGGTAAAATTTTTATGACAATTTACGATTTGTCAAACTTAGTTTATACGTGTTTGAAATTTCGGTTCGCCTTCGAGCCCATCGGAAATTAAGACATTATGTCTGTAAATTATGTGGTCTGTAAATAGGCTCCATGATGCGTTGTTTTTTTCCTGCGAAGTATCGGGCTACCCAGTTAAGACATTTTATCGCGAATGAAAATAGATTTCTTATTTATTTATATTGTATCTTTTAACGTTATCACTGTTTTGTGGTATTTATTACAGTATTATAAACCTGTCGACGTTCTAGTAGTATTTATAATTTGTATATGAAAACAAAATATGAGCCGTTATTTTTGAAAGTGATATAAGTTCATTTTTTCATGTATCGAGATATTTAAGGGTTTGCGTTTTAATTAATTAAAAAATATTGGCAAACGTCAATCAATTCGGATGATGTTCTTAACACTACAAACCTGTTAAATTTTATTATGCAATAATAATTATTCAAATTGGTAAACAAAATAAACGATTTTTTAGCACCAAATGGACTTATTACACTTTCAAAAAAAAATATTTTTGCGATAACATTTTATAGCTAAAATTCTTTTGATTACTTTATCAAGAAATCGTACTCCATTGAATGTATGATTATAAATATAAAAAAGGGATATCTATATCTTACTAAAATTACCATTAACTAATTTTTTTCCAAAAGTGCACTTATACCACTTTCAAAAAAAATATTTTTGTGATAACATTTTATAGCTAAAATTCTTTTGATTACTTTATCAAGATATCGTGCTCCATTGAATGTATGATTATAAATATAAAAAGAGGATATCTATAACTTACTAAGATCACCATTAACTCATTTTTTTTCGAACGGCTCATATGTACAACATGGGTTTATTTCTACGAATCCATCAATTATGGCCAACTTCGAGATCAATTTAACCGGGAATAGATAATTTTGAATTGTCGGGGAACTACTTTGACGATATCGCTCTCCGGGTTCGTGCTGATATCAAAAGGTCGGTTAAATATATTCCGGAGACAATGTCGTTTTTTATCATTATTTATTCGTGATTTTTGATGGATCATAAAATGCTGGTTAGAGAATTTAAATAGAGCAATCGGTTTCTCGTTGCTACTTTATTATCGATTTCAATAGAGAATAATAATTCGTCGCGAAATTTGATATTCATTTGAAATTGTACAATATTGAAATAGTAATTACTTATAGTATAAATGTATGTCAATTATTTCGCGAAGTATCCGAGAAGATTTTGGATACATTTGTCAACGAGCAGTATTGTAAAATTACATATCATTTTTATTCTATATTGTGGCAGTTATCAAGAGATTATACTCGACTTTATGTGAATCTAGGAACTTCTCGCGAATGACGACTGATAACAGTGTATAAATTTACAAGGCATACGGCTGGGACACAAAAATTACATTCTTTATTATCTGACGAGTTATTATCTAACGGGACGTTGATTAGAGCGAAGGTGTTTGTTTTGTCTAGTGACAAAAATAGATAACAGCTGCCATATGCGGAGTAATAGAGATTTTTTCATCAGCTACCTTTTAGTATGATTTTAGACAATCAGTTCGTGTAATTAAAAAACTGGAACTTTTAATGTCATCGATATTTATTCAGGAATTAAGTCTTCGTAATCATTTAAAGAAAGCAAACATTGTTGACCGCGATAAACGAGGTATAAACATGAATAGATCATTAAACAGATGATTTGACATATGAAATCAATAGGAAGTAAATAAAAAATGGAAAACCCAACGCCCGACTTTCAGTAATGTTTTAAGGTGAAATGAAACAAGTCGAGGGACTTGATCGACGTCGATAGAGAAGACTTTTCTAAATACCTACGTTGCCGACGTTCGTTTTTATATTGACAGTTGTGTCGAATTATATTGGGTATTGTACCAAATCCATCCTTCACCTGTCGTTTTCGTACATTAATTATAAAGAAATCGAAGTAAAATTCCAGAAATCCTCTGGATTCATGCTTTCTGGGGCCCTAATTGACTGTAGAGGACCCCCTGCGCCATCTATGATTTCCAGGTCAATTAAATTTTCTCTCCGAGACCTCGTATTACCATCGTTTTAGCATAGAGGCGCATACAACACTTTTTTTGCCTTCATCCCGTTCAAATGCGAGTTTATCGATTACCAGAGTGTTCTAAATTGTCGTAAAATTGTCCTAACCCTTTTGTTTCTCATATCAGAGCCTTCGATAATTGTATATTGATCGAAATATGAGAGCTTTACGCCATTTTGGTTCTGGTCTGGGCTGAGTTAAACAATTTTTTTTTTTAAATCCAAATTTTGAATGTGTCAAGACAATTCTTAGATGATCAGGAGTGATGTGTCAAAGTTTCGGACAGTTTGGTCTAATACCTTTAAAAAAAAGTGTTGTATTCGAATCGACTGATTTGAAGGGGGTTTCACTTCACCTTAAGGGAAAATCATAACGTGAAGAAGATTAATAAAAAGAGGAAAAAATAATACGTGATCGATATTAGGTAGACATTTAGAGACTATGACTTGTTTATATAATATTCACCCTATACGTAATCAAAATAATTATTTAATGTACATAATGATTTTTAATGATACAAAGTTTCTCCTTGAATATCCACAGATTCCTGAGAAACGAGTCCTAGGATACGAATGCAATTTTTGCCAGGAGCCAATTGCCACATTGTTGTCCCTGTCTACGCATGTGAAATTCCACTGCCAGAAATATTGTAAAATATGTTACTGGGTCTTAGCAGAAAATGAAAGTATGGAGCAACATGTAGCAAGCTCACATCGGATTCTACCAGGTATAAGTCTGAACATGTGAGCCTGATGTCTACTAATTAGATAGAAACAGATTTCTTTTGAAGGAAACGTTTTCCAGACACTCCTGAAAGATTTATTTCCTTCGATAATGGACAAACACTCAATTTATTGTCTCATGAAAGTCCACGGACGATCCATGTAAATACTTAAGTAGCAATCGCATCATTTAAGTCTCGATGTTTAATATTATTGAAACGCTTTTTATAAATCTCCTATAACTTATAAACCTAACAGCGTACAAAAGGTACTTCAATGTTCGGTTTCGCCAGATTTATATTTATACAAAGAGAACCGATATATTTTTAATACGATACGCTGTGTACGACTATACAAAAGTATGCACGTAGTAAAGTAAAAAATTAAAACGGACGTAGGTCTTATTACTACGCTTGTTTAACATAATATCCTGTATCCCTAGAAAATAAATATATGGAAAGCAATCGTTCAATTAGTTTCATTGTTTGCGCTTATTTCTTTAATATTAGTGGAACCTCATTCGGGTAATAAACAATTTCAATTAGAACGTTCCTTTCCTTACATTTGTAATATTATAAGATTACATAAGTACGAAGTTTGTATCTATCGTCAAAGGCATTTGGTATTGATACGAACAACTGACGGACACGTTGATATGTTCATATCTCATAACATATCAGTGCACAGGAGGACTGTTATCAGCACGGCGTCGATTTTGTCCTGAGCGAAAAAATCACTCCAAAGGAAAAAAGAAATTTTTGTATCAAATTTAACATTATTGGCTACTACCAACAAAATAAGGTCGAATGAAATTAAAGGAAATCGCAAATGATACTCAATTTTCTTATGTTCAGCTTCACCAAGCCTGTTTGACTCATTATTGTTGCATTTTTTATGCATAAGCATGTTTAAATGAAAAGTTGATTGACTTCGAAGAGGAAAAAACTTTGAAAGAATGAATAATATTCTTGTAACAAACCAGGATTTAATGGAATTAATAGTATGTCTGATGCTTTTCTTAAACTTCTAATGGTTACCGATGAACTCGTTCTTGCAGCAACTTCGAACAATATTTATTTGCCAGCAATAATTTCTTTTATTTCAACTACCAAGTTGTTTGAGTTCAATACAACATCTATGCAGTGTGTGATGTTACTTTCATTAAGGTGATACGAAAGGGTCATTCTATGTATATAAAATGTAAAAATATTTATAAAACTTTTCTCCAAACTGGGTTCACCGAATCATTTGAAACTCCAGCACGTGATTATGGAGGTGCTAAGAAGGAAAGCGATGCTGATGAAATTTCATTTAAGAAGAAATTGTTTATTCATCCCAAACTAGAACGAAGGAGACATATTTTTTAATGATAAATTAAATTTCATGAGCACCACGTTCTTCGTTAGGGCCTCAATAGTCAGGTGCTCAAGTTCCAAATAATTCAGTGCAGCTTGTTTGGAGAAAAGTTTTATAAATATTTTGATGTTTTATATTTACACAATGACCCTTTTATATCATCTTAACCCTTTGCACTCCGAATTATTGAGATGTCCAGTGCTGATGTCGAGTCACACTCGACAAAGGAGTGCAAAGAGTTAAGGTGATATGAAAGTGTGATATATACATATCAAACAGTCAAAATATTTATAAAACTTTTCTCCAAACTGGGTGCACCGAATTATCTAAAACTTTAACACGTGATTATGGGGGCTCTAAGGAAGAACGCACTGGCCACGAAATTTCACTTTCAAAAAAAAAATGTCTGTTTTCGATTCTTGTCCGAGATAAGTACAACATTCTTTTCGAAAAAAGAAATTTCATGAACAGCGCGTTATTCCTTAGGGTCTCCATAATCCGGTGTTAAAGTTTCAGTTAATTCGGTGCACCCAGTTTGGAGAAAAGTTTTATAAATATTTTGACTTTTTTTTATGTATATATCACACTTTCATATCACCTTAATACCTTCAATATCTGAGACCAAGTTTGTACGTGAAATTATTTCTGCAAAATCATGTTTGCTTGACATTAACTAGCCATCATTTGGGTTGCAACCCTGATGATTGCTACAAAATCAATGTTGCTGTAGCCAAGAATTTTCTTTAGCAAGAAACAATTAGATTGCCGCAAGTAATTAACTTCACCTAAAAAGTAAATTTTTTCGCTCAGGGTATAGAACCAGAGAAGAGTTGGGAGATTGCACGCGGGCACCTTATACCCCCCAGTGACGGCTAAACTCAGGGATCCTCCTCATCCCTGCTTCTTCCTCATCTCTGTGATAACAACCATCCTTCAACAACTTTTAACATCTCTTACCAGCAAGTTCAGCAAACTCTGCGGTGATGAACTACCCATGACGACTTGAAAAAAAGAAATGGATCTTGTTAAGACGTCCACCTAAATCTGCAAAGGGGCACAAAAGAACAGACAAAACAGAACATTGCAAAAAATCCAGGAATTCTGAGATTAGACAGCGAATAAGTTACTAGAAGTCAAGAATATTAATGGTACATCGATCTGGTTAAATTCACCGAATTGATATTTTTCATATCACTAAGTACGCAAAAATATATTTAAATGTAGACTCGACAAAATGTAATCAAAATGATTGTTCGCCGTCTTTTCCCGGTCAATCCTGACAAAATGACATAGAAAAAAAATAGGAGAGACAACGTGGCCAAAAAATGGATGGCTGTCCGTTCGAAAGAACGAAAGGCCATCGTAGTTGCCCTCTTCTTAAGGGGCCGCTTCGGCATATAGCCTCTTCGACTCTTGCAGTCTCTTCGGGCAGAGCCCCCTACGTCTCGAACGCTTGGCAATCCCCTGATTTTTCGGATTAAAAAAAAAAAATCACTCCGCAAGCAGATCCAAAAGCTAGCAAAACGACGACCTGCGATCCGAGGATGCGCAGTCCGTACGTATTGCACATTTATCCGGATTGCCAAGCGCGGTCTAATTAATTTCAATCCTGAAAGAAGATTTCCATAATCGCGGGCGTTGGGGAGTACTTTGGGGACTTTGCGAAAAGAATTTTATATCCGAAATTGGTCTCAGCGTATTCGAAATATTAGTGAGAAATATATCACAAGAATTTCTTTATTTCTGGAAAGTAATTCTTACCCTCGGCGTAGAACCCCGGACGCAAGACGGACATCCTCCGCACTCCCGGGAGCGCGAACGATGAAAAAGTATCCCAGGTTCAGGATCTCCTCCCAACCCCCCGGGAAGAGATCCTGCCCTGGCCCTGCCTGCTTACATCTAGACATTCACTCCAAACAACTATCCTACCTCCCTAGCTACATCTAAAAGAGCAATCACATTCGTTCCAACACACTCACTCCACGGTTCTCTCGCATTCCACCCGGGGGCAAATAGCCTATTCCTAGAGAGCACATCCCGGGATGTCTCCGACCCCCGAGTTCAATTTTTGTTCACATACACATTATCGATTGCCATCACCGGTTGAATTTAAATAAATTATAGAAATACCCGCACTCAGAACTCGGATGGCAATCGAAGGATTTTGCAAAATATTTATTTACCGCGTCTCCTGGCCCCGACCCGTTCGAGTCGCTCCTGGAGGAGTCGAAGGGCGAGGGCCAGCAAAGGCCGCGGCCACAGAAAAAGGCACTTACCGTTGACGAAGCTGAAAAAATCCTAAGCTGATTAATTTTGACATAGCTAAAACGAGCTAATGACTATACTTGACCTCGATACTTCAAAATTTCAAGAATAGAGACAGGCCAAGCCCAGCTCGCACTACGGCCCCAGGGTAGTGGAAGGCTTGACCGAAAAATGCTGAAATTCCTGAAGCCGTTCCCCTCGTCCAGGCGGCGACTCTAAGACGCAAACACATCGAAGTGCCACCTCGACTCGGGTGCGGCTCCTCGCGAAACCCTTCTCCCGCATCGTTTTGGAATTAAGCGATGAAACACCGCGAAACCGATGGCCCCGAAGTCGGAGGGTCGTCCGACTTCCCGGCGCTCGACGAAAGATCACGAATCGAGATCTACCGCGGACCCGGGAGAAGTCTAACCCTGCTCTAAATTCATAGACAAAAAATCAAAGCAAATTCGCGCGGCCACTCGCGAGTCGGCGAGAGTTCCTCCCGTCGACTCGCGGTCCCTCGAATATACCGGGAAACATACAATCGGCCTTCGTGCCGGTACGAACCTTTTGTCCTGCGACATGAGAAGGCCGAAGGAACGAAATTTCAAAACTCACCGACGGGACGTTTCGTCTTGTTCGCGCGGTACTCCCCCAGGAGATCCCTTCCGAAGAAGACCTGGGGTTTCTGGCCTCTGCTCCATCTGCCTCCGCCCCGAAGATGGCTTTGGCTGCATTTCGTCTCCGCTTCCGCTATCTCTGCCTTCGCTGCTTCCGCTTCCTCTTCCTTCTGGTGCCGTTGGATGCAGACGATTGGACGATATTTTATCCTTGGCACTCGCGACCCGTAATCACTGCGACGCCCTGACCGTTTTCACTTCGCGTCCCCTGCGCGGCCACACGGAAACTGCGCGTGCCCTCCTCCGTTATGTACGGAGTCGACCCTGAACCTCTTCGCGAATAAGAATACCGTCGGTCAATGAAATATATTACGCGCCGCGTTGGTTTAAACTCGGAACGTAGCAAGTAATACGACCATCACGTCCTTCATCATTTTCTAAACGACTCACGACGTCTTAGCACGGCAGCTTCTCCGGGACAACTGCCGGTCCGCCGGGCAGGCCTTGACGCGTGGTCGCGACACGGCTCTCGGATTGGGCGAAGCCGTTCTTTGTCGTGCCGGACCCGCTCGGCGGTCCAACATTGGACGGCTTCGACCAATCCGAGAGCCGGGTCGCGACCACGCGTCACGGCATGCCCGGCGGACCGGCAGTTGCCCCGGAGAAGCGGCCGTGCTAAGACGCCATGAGTCGTTTAGAAAATGATGAAGGATGTGATGGTCGTATTACTTGCTACGTTCCGAGTTTAAACCAACGCGGCGCGTAATATATTTCATTGACCGACGGTATTCTTATTCGCGAAGAGATTCAGGGTCGACTCCGTACATAACGGAGGAGGGCACGCGCAGTTTCCGTGTGGCCGCGCAGGAGACGCGAAGTGAAAACGGTCAGGGCGTCGCAGTGATTACGGGTCGCGAGTGCCAAGGATAAAATATCGTCCAATCGTCTGCATCCAACGGCACCAGAAGGAAGAGGAAGCGGAAGCAGCGAAGGCAGAGATAGCGGAAGCGGAGACGAAATGCAGCCAAAGCCATCTTCGGGGCGGAGGCAGATGGAGCAGAGGCCAGAAACCCCAGGTCTTCTTCGGAAGGGATCTCCTGGGGGAGTACCGCACGAACAAGACGAAACGTCCCGTCGGTGAGTTTTGAAATTTCGTTCCTTCGGCCTTCTCATGTCGCAGGACAAAAGGTTCGTACCGGCACGAAGGCCGATTGTATGTTTCCCGGTATATTCGAGGGACCGCGAGTCGACGGGAGGAACTCTCGCCGACTCGCGAGTGGCCGCGCGAATTTGCTTTGATTTTTTGTCTATGAATTTAGAGCAGGGTTAGACTTCTCCCGGGTCCGCGGTAGATCTCGATTCGCGATCTTTCGTCGAGCGCCGGGAAGTCGGACGACCCTCCGACTTCGGGGCCATCGGTTTCGCGGAGTTTCATCGCTTAATTCCAAAACGATGCGGGAGAAGGGTTTCGCGAGGAGCCGCACCCGAGTCGAGGTGGCACTTCGATGTGCTTGCGTCTTAGAGTCGCCGCCTGGACGAGGGGAACGGCTTCAGGAATTTCAGCATTTTTCGGTCAAGCCTTCCACTACCCTGGGGCCGTAGTGCGAGCTGGGCTTGGCCTGTCTCTATTCTTGAAATTTTGAAGTATCGAGGTCAAGTAGAGTCATTAGCTCGTTTTAGCTATGTCAAAATTAATCAGCTTAGGATTTTTTCAGCTTCGTCAACGGTAAGTGCCTTTTTCTGTGGCCGCGGCCTTTGCTGGCCCTCGCCCGTCGACTCCTCCAGGAGCGACTCGAACGGGTCGGGGCCAGGAGACGCGGTAAATAAATATTTTGCAAAATCCTTCGATTGCCATCCGTGTTCCGATTGCGGGTATTTCTATAATTTATTTAAATTCAACCGGTGATGGCAATCGATAATGTGTATGTGAACAAAAATTGAACTCGGGGGTCGGAGACATCCCGGGATGTGCTCTCTAGGAATAGGCTATTTGCCCCCGGGTGGAATGCGAGAGAACCGTGGAGTGAGTGTGTTGGAACGAATGTGATTGCTCTTTTAGATGTAGCTAGGGAGGTAGGATAGTTGTTTGGAGTGAATGTCTAGATGTAAGCAGGCAGGGCCAGGGCAGGATCTCTTCCCGGGGGGTTGGGAGGAGATCCTGAACCTGGGATACTTTTTCATCGTTCGCGCTCCCGGGAGTGCGGAGGATGTCCGTCTTGCGTCCGGGGTTCTACGCCGAGGGTAAGAATTACTTTCCAGAAATAAAGAAATTCTTGTGATATATTTCTCACTAATATTTCGAATACGCCGAGACTAATTTCGGATATAAAATTCTTTTCGCAAAGTCGCTTCCGCTTGATATTATCTGGTCATTGTTTGGATCGCAACCGTGATTCTTACAAAATCAATTTCATTGGAACCATGAAATTTCTTGTTCAAGAAACGTCTGAATTGTCGCGAGTAATTCATTTCACTCTGAAAAGTAAATTATTCGCTCAGGGTACTTTCCCGACGCCCGCGATTATGAAAATCTTCTTTCAGGATTGAAATTAATTAGACTGCGCTTGGGAATCCGGATAAATGTGCAATACGTACGGACTGCGCATTCTCGAATCGCAGATTGTCGTTTTGCTAGCTTTTGGATCTGCTCGCGGAGTGATTCTTTTTTTTTCTTTTTTAATCCGAAAAAGCAGGGGATTGCCAAGCGTTCGAGACGTAGGGGGCTCTGCCCGAAGAGACTGCAAGAGTCGAAGAGGCTATATGCCGAAGCGGCCCCTTAAGAAGAGGGCAACTACGATGGCCTTTCGTTCTTTCGAACGGACAGCCATCCATTTTTTGGCCACGTTGTCTCTCCTATTTTTTTTCTATGTCATTTTGTCAGGATTGACCGGGAAAAGACGGCGAACAATCATTTTGATTACATTTTGTCGAGTCTACATTTAAATATATTTTTGCGTACTTAGTGATATGAAAAATATCAATTCAGTAAATTTAACCAGATCGATGTACCATTAATATTCTTGACTTCTAGTAACTTATTCGCTGTCTAATCTCAGACTTCCTGGATTTTTTGCAATGTTCTGTTTTGTCTGTTCTTTTGTGCCCCTTTGCAGGTTTAGGTGGACGACTTAACAAGATCCATTTCTTTTTTTCAAGTCGTCATGGGTAGTTCATCACCGCAGAGTTTGCTGAACTTGCTGGTAGGAGATGTTAAAAATGTTAAAGAATGTTTGTCATCAACTTAAGGGGATATGAAAGTGGCATCCGAGGGGTAGATCCTTCATGGAAGTTTTCTCCGAAATGTGTGTACCGAATCGTTTCAAACTTTACATCGTGAATATGGAGGCCATAAAGAAGGTTCTGACCGTCATGAAATTTAATTTCTAATAAAGAAATTTGAAAAATACCTATGAACAAATTTTTAAACAATTCCAATTTCATGGGTGTCAAGACCTTCCTCATAGCCTCCATGTTCACTTTATAAAGTTTGATACGATTCGATACACCCAGTTCAGAGACAAGTTTCATAAACGAGACTTGTGTAGTTACTTTCACATCACGTAAAGAATCCTCCTTTCTGTTCATTTCAGGGAGCTTATCGGGAGCTGTTCTTGTTTCTCGTCGTGCAATAATTACGATCATGCGCGAATGTCGCATGACGGAACTTACGTATCAAATTAATTTCAGTTTCACTATCGCGGTATCACGTCCACGATACAAGTTGGAGGACTTCGTGGGTTTCATTCAGTAGATCTCGTTACCGCTTCTGAATCTACTTGACAATTCTGGAGCCACTGCCCTGAGGACATTGTCTATTTCCTTACTACAGTTAATGAACAAGACTTCCTGTCCTCGAAGCGAAAGGTCGTTCGCCAGGAGTTTGATATTCTGGAAATTAGAAACCATAGACATCAGTTGATTAACATTCAGGGCCTGCCACTGAACTGTCAGGGTAACTGAATTACCGAGAGAGTTGAAGAAATCCCAAAATTGTATCACATCTGCAATAAGTCTCATGCTTGAATGTTAAGAAAATGTAACGATTAACTATCAATTTTCTTCAATTTTCACATCGTTTCCTGCCATCGGGTTCAATTGAACCCATATGCATGATAATAAAATGTAAAGATAATAAGTGCCGCCGGAAATTTGATTACATAATTAAAATGTAAGTAATTGAAAACAACAAAGACATACGAACAAAAATGTAGAAATGACGAAGAGACTCGAAGAAAGCAATCATGCTTTTGTTTCTCATTCTCTGTTGTTTTCAATTACCTAAATTTTAATTATGTAATCAAATTTCCAGTGGTACTTGTTATCTTTAGATTTCATTGTCATGTGTATGGGTTCATTTCAACCCGATGGCAGGACACGATGTGAAAATTGAAGAATGCACAAAGGGTGACAAAATCGCGCATGGTGTTTCTTTTTGTTGCAGAAATTGTTTACTGGGAAAGTGTTATATCAAATGCAATTATGTTTTGGGTTTCCTCGCGATAATGGTACATATATTTTTCTATGCTCATTTAGTTCATCGTAGCTGGTGAAATTAAAGCTTTAACATCTTTTTAACTGTTATTACGGCTTGTTTAAGGTTACAGGCCTATCTGAACAAAAAGTAGTTTTAAATAATAGTGGCGTATACCTTCGCTACGGTAACGTCGATCCTCTTCAGGTTCTTGCAGTCCAGGATAACGTTGCCAAGGTTTTCCTCCGACAACCTCATTACATTAATGCGGAGATTTTCCGCTGCCGGAAACGTTACCGCCTCTTCCGGCACCACATGAATTGTTTTACGACCATCGACCTGAAGAATCGTTTATAATTAACGTTACACTAGAGAAATTCGTTGTAATTACAAATATAGTTGCTCATGTTTGCAGTATCCATGATTCCTTCACAAATTGCAAGTACATAATCTACCATACCCAGAGAAAAAGATTTAATTGAACCAAAGAAATATTTTTTTTTCGAATAATACCGGAGAATATATTTTATTAATTCAAAGAACTCGACTAAATTCGAATAAATTGAATGGACATTTCTTCGGAATTATGACTATTATTTCCAATCAAATAATTGTACTTTGATTTAATTAAGTATTTCATTGGTACCGTTCAAAGAAGTATTTTTTTGGTTGAATGAGTTTTTTCCACATCGTATTAGGTTAGTTACTTAAGGAATAGAAAGGACGAATAAAATAGAAAATAATCCAAGGCAAAAATAGGGTTTCTCTGTCTTCTTTTTTCTGTCACTCGGGACAGTTTAGATTTATTTTATTCAGTGCATTTCCGCACACAGAGAGGACTTTCCGGTAACGACGAGAGGCAGGAATGTTTCAGATGTTTCAGAATTCCAAGAATGCTTGGATTAAATCTACACGGCAACAGTCTAACCGCAAATGGGGACGAAATTCCTGCCAGGTTTTCAGTTCAAAATGTCAAGAATGGTTTGGAATGAATAATTGTTTAGATGGGGTATGCTACGAGGTCCATTTTACTACCTGTTCCACCTTCATTACGATGGATGGTCTTGCTGAGAAATAGAGAAGCAGGGCTAGGTTAATCGCGATTCCAATGTAGACGCGATTTTGGTAAAATTCTACGATAATGCTCAATTTGCCAAAATTAATTTCAACGATACATTTTTCAACGGGAAGTATTCTTGTAAGATTATATATCATTTTCATTCTCTATTGTGGGAGTTATCAATAGATTATGTCCTATTTCATATGAATCTAGGAATTCTTTGCGGATGACGACAGATAACATAAATTTGTATAGCGTATAGCGTAGATATATAAATAGTGTATAGAGTATAAAATATAGTGTATAGATATGATGATATATAAATTTGTAAGGTGTTCGCCTGGGAAACGGAAGTTACGTTCTTTTGAAGTTTGACGTTTTCAGTTCGAAATGTCAAGAATGGTATGGAATGAATAATTGATTAGGTGAGGTATGCTACGAGGTCTGTTTCATTACCTGTTCCACCTTCATTACGATGGATGGTCTTGCTGAGAAATAGAGAAGCAGGGCTAGGTTCATCGCGATTCCGATGCCGATTCCCATTTCCAGGCCCAGAAACACGCAGCTCAGCAGCGTGATTGACATTACTAAGAAGTCGGTCTCTAAAAATGATATTGCATCCCAATCATTAGTTTTGCCCTATATTTTCCAATAGTCTTCCCGAAACATCACATATTTCCCTACTTACAACACTCCGATACATTAGGAAACGTGTGATAATACAAATTAATAAGGAATATAATAATCACCTCAGTAGCATAAAATATTTCTCTTATGTTTTCTGTATATTTAACGAATATCGTACGTTTTGTAAATATCTAGCAGATATTTGAAATATTTGCGATATATTTACTTTAGAATTTTATCTTTTATAATATAGCAGTAATTGTAGAAAAATAATAATGAGATGGTATCAGTAAAAAATGTATTGGAGGGATTATACAGATTTTCAAGGACGCCGTTGTAGAATTATACGCGATGTGTTACCGTTTTCTGCCATTTTTATGAAATCTTTCCCAGCCGATATTAAAATATGGCGATGAGTTCCGGGAATAAAGAAATATTCCTTCCCGTTGTCCCTTAAAAACGTTGCAATTTCCGGGAAGCTGAATAAAACATCGTGCTACGATATTTCCGCATAAAATTCCATAGCTCAGCTATTCCCGAGAAATGTGCGAGCGAACCAGGAAATTGATCGGAGAAAATAAAGGATTTTTTGACTGGATTAATGAATGCTAAATAAGAGGTCACTTGAAATTGAGAAATAGTTTCTAGTAATACTTTCTCTATGGCACAATTTTTTTAATAATTAATTTGATTTCAGTTTATCACGTACTTCGTTCAATTAATTACTTACTACTAGTTAAAAAAAAACATTAGAAATCGCTAAGATACCCTATATTTCTGAAAGAAACAAAACTTTGTACGTCATGTAAAGTATTGCGATAAGTAGGATAAAAAATATATCATATTTACTTTTGGCCCGCCAAAGTAGCATGTACGTTTTGAAGTCCAGCATGTAGTACATGGCACACGTGATAACACCGGCTAAAGTTGCTTTGGGGATGAAACGGAAAGTGGATGTTAGTAGTCCAGCTGCAAGTAATACCAGAGCACCTGGAAAAAAATTTCAATCAAATAAAATGCAATAAAATCCAATTAACCCTTTGAGAGCTGTGGACCCATAAGTGGGTCCGACGTTTGGTCCAATATTGCTTCCACGTACTGATGAAATTCGCCCATACGCTGAAAGGGCTTAGCGCTCAAATGGTTAAACTCCTCCGTTCAGAATTTCCTTGATACTCCCAGGCAGTTTCACGTTACTTTTTGTTGTTAATGTAACGAACACGAAGGAAATTAAATAATGCACTCTAGGCGGAAAAGAATATTGTCTGTGTAACATTACTACAAAATGAGATTTATTTATTAAATCTTCCTGCCGTAAGGGTAATTTAAAGTATGTAGGAAGAGTCAACGAAAGCCGCCATTCTAAATATCTCATTATTTAATAATGTTATCAGCAAATATTTTACATGAAATATATTTTATTCGGAGGAGGTCGTCGAATGGAAGTATTGATATTCTTTCTGTTCTATATCTTCTAAAATATTACGTTGATCTTCAGTTTTTTTAATTCGCATCTTACAGTTTTCTTAATTATATCTTGTAGTCGATAAAAATATGAGTTCAGCGATCTATGCTAATATAGCTTTAAATTGTCTCGAATGCTCAAAAAAAGGTCAAAACTTACAAAGTGGAAATGTATCACTCATTTTTATCATGTTTCTTAAAAACTTTTTTTTTTCTATCCTAGACCAGAACCAAGATCATATTTTTTTACGAACAATGAAATTTCACGAGCATCGCGTTCTTCCTTAGGGCCTCCATAATCACGTGTTAACGTTTCAAATGATTCGATGCACCCAGTTTGAAGAAAAGTTTTATCAATATTTTGACGTTTTGATGTATAAAATGACCCTTTCATATCACCTTAAGGTGACGTGAAAGTGGCATGAAAAAGGACTCGTTTATGAAACTTTTCTCCGAATTGGGTGCACTGAATCAGTTCAAACTTGACAATATGAGCATGGAGGCTATAAGGAAGGTCCTGACACCCATACAATTTTATATTTTAACAATTTGTTTATAGATGTTTTCAACATTTTTCATGAAAAATGAAATTTTTCGAGCGTGCTTAACAATATGAGCATGGGGGCTATAAGGAAGGTCCTGACACCCATAAAATTTCATGTTTTAAAAATTTATTTCTAGATGTTTCCAGCATGTCTGATAAAAAATGAAATTTCACGAGCGTCAGGACCTTACTCACAGCCTCCATGTTCACGTTGTAACTTTTGAAACGATTTGGCATACCCCGTTCGTAGAGAAGCTTCATGAACGATTGGTCTTTCGGATACGGCTTTCACATCCCCTTAAATACTATTTTCGGTAATATACAATTAGCATTTCACCTGTAAAGAACCCTCCTAGAGGAGTCCTCACCCCCGAGGCGTGGTTCACGGCCGTCCTGGTGAAGGATCCTGTGACGGGCATGGATCTGACGAAGGACCCGAGGATGTTGGTCAGTCCCAGTGCCAGCATCTCTTGTGTCGCGTCCAACGACTTCCCCATGGCTGGAAAAGGCGCATGGAAAGGACGTGGGTGAGAAATAGAAATTGCCTGTCAGGGTAATAATTTAGCGAGCCGGCCGTTTCCTTCCGTCCAAGGAGTTGGGAAACGGTATCCGGAAAACGGTCCGACTCTTTCGGAGTCTTCCGGCCCGGAAACACCGCAAACACGAAACGTACCGAAAGCCTTGGCGATGGCGATGTGCTCGATAGTGGAGATGATCGGCATCGTGATCAAAGTCGGTCCCATTGCCGACGTCATTTCCAGGAAGTCGTAGGTTTGATTCTTAAATGTCGTCGAAAAGGGCGGCAGAGAGAGCGGTGGAAGCCCTTCGCCTAGGGTTCCTGCAAAATTAAATGTGATGGTATCGGGATATCTAAATACACAATTTGCAAAGAAATCGCAACACCTGATGAAAATTGTAGAAATCAGAGACCGACATACGGGGCGTCCTTTTTGAGATGTCTTTTTTCAATTCGATCGGCTTACTTTTCAAGCAATCTTAATGAAACTCTTAATATAGCATATTGACGTCATAAGGGTTTTTCATAAAAAACGTGACGCTATTCTGTTATCATTTTGAAATCATAATGTCACACCATTTTCCAGTACCTAATTGTAACGTTAATCGTGATTCGAATTTTGCGAGGAATCAAATGAGCCTAAAAATAACGTGGTAACATATTATAAAAGATATCAAATCGGAGAGATCGACCTGGGATACCTTCCTTGTAAATAGTATATATATATAGTTATGAGATATGTTTAGCGTTGAGTTTTAGGTGTTGCAGGGTTTTAGCGATCAGAGTAGATTCTGGTTTCAATTATCCTTTAACAATTATTCAGTCAGATTTCTCATCTGGAGTCGTTCATTTCAATATGACTTTAAGGAGATACGTAAATCCTCTGCTAATCTGTTTGTACAATTATTGAATTTTTAATGAAAGTTTGTTCGTTTCTTAAGGATGGGGTGATATTACGTCTGAATTGGCATAAGAGGAAGTGCGTGTGTTTTAGAAAGCAATTTGGAAATTCTACTTAAAGTATTTATCTGTGGATATGTTTCTGTATTTTCTTTCAATTTTCAATAATTACCTGTTAGCCGGAAGGGTGTTTCGCCGTTGATATAGAAGATATAAGCCATGACAGTTCCTATCAGAACTGCAACTGCATTCCGTGATAACGTGGTCATCCACATGACTTTCTGCGCCCACGTCCCACTTCTCCGTCCCGGCAAATTCTGTTTATCAAACAATTATTAAATGAATCTATGTAATGATAACATTGATATCAAATAGTTATGTAAACTCTCGTAGAGTCTATGTGCTCTACTTCTCCGCCCAAGGAAATTCAGTTTATCGAATAGTTATTAACACATTCGCGACCGCTGACGTGAATTTACGTCTTTTCAAGTTCTATTCCTGGTTGCCGCTGACGTGAATTCACGTCATTTTAAATTCTATTCCTGGTTGCCGATGACGTGAATTCACGTCATTTTAAATTCTATTCCTGGTTGCCGCTGACGTGAATTCACGTCATTTTAAATTCTGTTCCTGATCGCCGCTGACGTGAATCACGTCCTGCTTAGTAGTTGGCTCACTAATTGTTAGCCGGACAAATTTTATCACTTTTATCCTTGCTTTAAACGATACAAGTTTGCGGCAACCAGTTTCAGAATTTCATTGTTTTCGCCGGTACTCAGTATTTGAAGCGGAAAAAATTTTCCGGTCGCGAATGTGTTAAACGAACCTATGTAATGATAACAACTGATATCAAATAGTCATGTAAACTGTGGTAAAATCCATTTGTTCAACTCCCAACCGCGATTTGGTCGAGATTTTCTGCTAAATCGTCGTATGCTTTGCTCGTAAAACTTTCGGCCATTGTTTTGTACGAAAGAAATAAAGCGATTGTCCCTCGAGAAATGGGAAAACTCTTAATGCGTTTGAGATAGGGTCGTTTGACATTAATCATTGTACCGAATTCAGAACAATTATAAGTACATTTTAAGGCCTCCTGATAAATATTACATTGCTCCATCCGTTCTTAAATTCTTGTGTATGAAGATTCATAACGCAAGAGTTAACCCTTTGCACTTCTTTGTCGAGTGTGACTCGACAACAGCAATTGACATCTTAATAATTGAGAGTGCAAATGGTTAATGAAAGATATTATATCGGTAGAAATATAACATTCTGGAGAGTAAGTTAATTCGTATTACACGTTGTTTCAAGAACACCATAAGCAATATTAGAGATAAATAAGTAAAATATTTAATTTGCAAGAGTTAACCCTTTGCACTTCTTTGTCGAGGGTGACTCGACATCAGCAATTGATATCTTAATAATTGAGAGTGCAAATGATTAACGAAAGATATTATATCGGTAGAAATATAACATTCTGGAGAGTAAGTTAATTCGTATTACACGTTGTTTCAAGAACACCATAAGCAATATTAGAGATAAATAAGTAGAATCTTTAATTTGCTGTAATTTTCATTAACAAAACAGTCGCTCGTAGCTGTTTAATGAATAATAAAAAGATCAAGAAAATGAAAAAGTTCAATATTCAATTCGTGGAGGTATTGTTTAATCAAGGAAGTCAATTGTAATTATGAAGGAAATATCGCCAATCAAAAACGATAAGTGAAACTAAATATTTAGTACAACTCGAGTCAGCATTGAAATTAAATATTCCTTTGCATCTCATCTCTTATTATTATTATTCTGGTCACGAAGTTCGGTAATTTTAAATAAAATTGTTAATGTATAAATACCTTTAGAAGGACCAGAAAAGCGACGGTGCCGAAGCCGAGTAATAAGTCAAAAGTCAATTGTAATTACGAAAGAAATATCGCTAATCAAAAACGATAAGTGAGACTAAATATTTACCACAATTTGAACCGGCATTAAAATTAAATATTGCTTAGCCATTTCTTACTTTTTATTTCTAGTCGCGAAGTTCGGTAATTTTAAATACAATTGTTAATACACAAATACCTTTAAAAGGACCAAAAAAGCGATGGTGCCGAAGCCGAGTAACGAATCCGTCCATTCAACTTGTTTAATATTCTTCACTATAGAGATCAGAGAATCCAGGAAGGATTCACTTTTTCCAGCAATCCCGAGGAGGGATTTAAATTGAGCGGCAGCGATATTAAGAGCAGCACCAGTGGTGAACCCTGTTATTACAGGCAGTGATATGAAGTCCAGCAAGAAACCTAGAAAACAGGAAATTGCATAAACTACCCCATTGTACGTAACGAGCTCGAGAACTTCTGCAGAACTAAGCGAAAGGTTTCCCTGACCTTTATTAAATTTTCCTTTAAACAGCGCTTTAATTTCGAAACCCTGTCGAGGCTTGTAATGTTGTTATCCAGGTGGAAAATAGAGAAACGCGGAACAGCGGGAAATTTAAGACGTTACGTAATCATCCCGTAAAAGAGTGGCGGAGAGCAATGAGAGATTAAACATTGAACTTTGTCGCGGAAATAGTGAAGGGCGATGGTAATATTTTTGTACAATTTAGACATACCTTTGACTTTTAACGAGGCTTCTTTCGGGGTAATGTATAGGAAATAGGGTATATATTATTAATTAATTGTAAATGAAGTGTTGTAGATAGGGAAGCACTTCATCAAAGTTCGAAGTGTGGGAGATGCATTAAGCTGATGCATAAGTAATGACACTTTTAACACGTAACGTAACGTGTAAAAAAATGCCATTACTTTTGCATCGACTTAATATAAGTAATATCATTTTGGTAATCACGGTACTCACGTGCACGGGGATTGCTGGAGGAGGAACGCGATTGGTGGTTTATAGGCAGTAAGGTACCTAGATAGGAACCAGGATCCTGCGGTCGGTCTTACCTAGATGAAATATCCCTAGGAGGGTGATGATACATCCTTTGAGGAAGCAAATCAGGACTGCCATGTCCGGTCCAAGTCTCGTTACGAGAGGCTGGACCATTAGTGCCATAATAGCAGTAGCGCCAATCGTGATGTTATCACAGGATCCAAAAAGGATGTACACGAATGGTCCCATGAAGCCAGCATAAAGTCCATACTGAGGGGAAAATCCTCTTATTTTACTCATGATTTTCCAGAATCATAAAACTCGATGGATTAATTTACTAACTGAGGCATTTATATTTGTTCCATCGACAACAATACGATTAAGGCGATGGGAAAAGTGGCGTCGAAGAGCTTTCCTTTATGAAACTTCTCTCCGAATTGGGTTTACCTAATCGTTTTAAACTTTACAACGCGAATCTCGAGTTTTTAAGGAGGGTCCTGAAACTCATGAAATTTCAATTCTTCAAGAAATTTCTTTACGGGTATTTGTTGAAATTTCCAAAAGACATGAAATCCCATGAGGATCAGGACCTTCTTTATAGACTCCATATTCACGTTGTAAAATTTGAAACGATTCGGTTACACCCAGTTCAGCGAAAAGTTTCATGAACGATCGATCCCTCGAATGCCACATTCACGTCCCCTTAAGGTGATGTAAAAGTGCCGCCGAAGAGGTGTCGTTTATGAAACTTTCAAAATATAAAACATAAATGTGGATACTTTAACCAAGATCCTGAAACTCACGGAATTTCAATTTTTTGTTTCATTTGTTTATAGGTATTTCAAGAGTTTATATAAAAAATGAAATCTTATGAGTGCCGGGACCTTCCTTATAGTATCTGTGTTTATATTGTAAGATTTGTAACGATTTGGTACACTCAGTTCGGAGGAAAGTTTCATGAACGATTGGCTCTTCGGATGCCACTTTCACATTCCCTTAAGAGATCGAAACGGATGATCATGGAAAGAAGAAAATGAAAAGAAAACGAGAATAATCTTAATTTTCTACTCAACGAATTTCTCTTATTAATATTGAATATACGTATTTCTCTTGTCGTTTTTGGGTGCAGTTCCTGAGAAAATGTATAAAAGAAATTTGAATCTGGCACTAGGTATTGCGCGTTTTTGAATTTAGGGGTATGCGTGATTTTGAATTACAGGACATTTACCTCGGGATTTAAACCAGCGACTATTCCATAAGCAATGCCCTGTGGTATTGCTGTTAAGCCGACTGTAATACCAGCCAGCATATCTTGAAGGACCCATGATTTTTTATACCGGGGTAACCAACTGAGTATTGGAAATCGCCTTTTGACATATGACCTGCAATCTTGCCGTAGGCTGGTCACTGAAACCACGAAATTATCCTCATTTACATTCAATTTCACCAATCTTTGCAACGGATTGATAAGTACATATTACATTTCGATTCTGATCAATAGAAAAGCTCGTGACAGGTTCTGAAAGAAAATACTTTCTTATTGGACCATTTTGAACCGCTAGATTTAAAATGGAATTACCCCATTCATAATCTTGAAATGTTACCATGCTCCTACTTCATGTTCATCAAAGTTCTTAAATGATTATATTTGCGTTGCATTACAATTAAAAATAAAAAATAGGAAAAGGGAGAACGAGTCATCATATGTACAGTATTTCATTTACAGAATCCCTGAGTTCTATAAGCATGTATTTAAATGGTAAAATCAAAATAGTAATCAGCAAGAATAAATTAATCTCGACACAGTGTTAGTCATTACACTTGGTTCAACTATCTTTCTTGCACGTACTGCCCGGTTTTAATGGTAATTGTTTTGCACTGATGTTCATTAAGTGATGGGCCTAACGGACATAAATTCATGAAAGTAAATGACAATTTTCTTGCTAATTTTTATGGATCTTGGATAGACCTTTACTCGGTGTTCTTTTTTAAGTACTTACTCTTCAATCCGTTAAGGCAATTCTCGAAATTGTTAAGGCATTGTTACAGGTAAGAATGTTGGCGATTTATGCGATTGCTATTGCGCTTTACTCGATGCAATTGGAGCTTCTGCGAGTCTCCGTACGGAGTACTAAGCTCTTTAAAGCTGACGAGCGTTCTGCTTCCTACAGACACGTTACACTTGTCATTTTGTATTGCGATATCGTGTTCGGGCGTTACATAAAGTCGTCATGGTGATCGATTGATCGATCCTTCTATTGGCTCCGACGTTTTATCGCAAATTGGCAAAATAAAGAGCTCTGACGGTGAGAGGAGATAAAATCTCGCCAATTGCGAATTATGAAGGAAAGGATTATGTAATCTAGCGATGGCTTATCAGGAATTGCACCTTTTTCTCACGCGACTGATTCCAATGTTTTTAGGCGAAGGAAAATCAGTTTATACCATCATACCCTTTCGTTATAATGAATGCGTATAATTTTTTATACAAAACTTCACAATTATTTGGGTATACGCTGAGTGAAAAGTTTACTGTCTAGGCGAAATTAATTACGGCAATCTAAACGTGTTCCTTGCTAAAAAAATGTCAACTTCGGCAAAATTGATTTTGTCGAAATCATCGGCGTTGCAAATCAAATAACATTTGTATATCAAACAGAAATGAGATTGCGAAAACAGCTTTTTGTATGAAGTTCATTTCAGATATTGAAAATGATAATGAAGGTTATATCACGTTTTAGATCAAATTTTGTGTTTTACGTAAACAACTTATAACTCTTTATAAAAAGTTATTCATGGCGAATATTCCAAGTTGCAGCCAGTGAATTCACCAGTCAGAGTTTTTAGAGAAAACGTCTAATATACTATAAAGCTACCGAATTTTACTTTGGCACGAGGATATTATTAATTTTTCCAAGGTTTTTCACTTTTTTAATTGCAAAAACTTTGCATTCGAAGACGTTTATGTACATCGATCTAATGATATTGAATAATAAAAGCTTGGTGAAAAATAGATTTCACTTAAGTTCTTTTTTTTTTATTTCGGAAGAATATTAATTTACCTAGTCACACATTAGTGCAGAAACCTGCATTGATATTTATAGGTGAACTTAAAGGAAGGAAAAGCACCGGTGATAGTAATCTTTTAATTATATAATGAAAAAAAATACCATTATACAACCAGGTATCATGGACGTCACACGCTTCAGTCATCGACATTTCAGAATAATCGGTGCTTTTGAAAGAATAACAAATTATATAATTCACGAAAATATGAGGATTTTAAATCCAACTCATAAAACTGGATAAAAGTACGTAACATGTCTGAAGGCTTAAACCGTAAGGTATGTTATTATCAATGGATGTTATGTCACGTGTTTTCGTGATAATGAAAGACGTCAAAGACATGACATCATTGAAATGATCATATTTAAGGTATTTAGGAAGTACCGATATAATCGAAGAATTGCGCAAGTTTGTTAATCTTCATCATTTGGAAGAAAATGACGGTGCATAACATTTGTAACATGTAAGGTAACATACATGTAACATGTAAGTAAGGTTTGTCTTATTATTTCCTACACAGCTGTAAAACATTATTATAAAACGAATAACGTAATATATACATGATATACTGGGGACGTGTTATATGTTATGTCAATATTATATTGCTGAAATACTGACAAGTTAGTAATAATGTTACCGAACGGTAATAATTCAACATTACATGATATCCATGCATCTTTTGAATAACTCGTTATATATATATAATGTTATTCCAGTGTTATGTAACTGTTACATAAGGTGGGAATTGTAGATGTAAGCATATTGTTTTCATACACGGGTATGTCAAATGAATAATAAAATTATATTTCATAGGTGCATATTAACACTACCAGTAATAACATCTAAGAATAAAAATCGAGCAAATCATATCGTTATACGGAGAGGATCACCCTTTTATATTTTATACATAATTACTAAATATTTTATACATAATTACTAAATATTTTATACATAATTACTAAACTCTGAAGAATTGTCCAGTTGTACATTTTGTCCCGGAAGTCTCTACTGTTAAAAAGGAAGTAAAAATACCGATTTTGAGTTGAAATATCTATTTTTGACAATTCTTGATAGATCAGCAAGTATTTTTACTTATTTCGTTGTCGATCGTATGCAACCTACCGCCACTCATATTTTTAGTCCTGCATCATTAATAAGGTGATATTTTCGTTATAATCCATGTTAGATCTGACCTTCTCTCTGGAACACGGAATCGAGACATGGCAGCGAAAAGTGCACGCCTCTCCTACGACCTTTTTAAAGTTTTAGCACATTTTGTGTGCGATCACCCGAAAATTCTAAAAACTAGGTAAAAACTTCAGAATCTATTAACTCTTTTGGTATGAGGCGATAACTGATCATAACACCGTCTGAGGTGTGTAGGAATTCTCTTTTCGCATTAAAAATGTCTCTAATCCGCGAATAAGACATTTAAGGTGAAGTGAAACACGTCGAGGAAGTTGATCGACGTCGGCAAAAAAGATTCTTCTAAATGCCTGCGTTGCCGACGTTCGTTTTTATATTGACAGCTGTGTCGAATTATATTGGATATTGTACCAAATGGCATACCCCACCTGGCGTTTTCGTACAATAAATATCAAGAAATCGAAGTAAAACTCCAGAAATCTTCTGGATTCATGCTTTCTGGGGCCCTAATTGAGTGCAGAGGGACCCCCTGCGCCATCTGTGATTTCCAGGTCAATTAAATTTTCCCTCCGAGACCTCGTATTCCCATCGTTTTAGCATAGAAGCGCATACAACACTTTTTTTGCCTTTATCCCGTTCAAATGCGAGTTTCTCGATTACCGGTGTGTTCTAAATTGTCATACTATTGTCTTAACACTTTAGTTTCTCATATTAAAGCCTTCAATAATTGGATATCGATCGAAATATCAGAGCTCGATGGAAATATTTAAGATATACAGGGAATATTCACGGAACGCATACATTTTTTTAAATATTCAAAGCATGTTCTGGCTTATGAATGTATGTACAGAATATTGACTAAATATTCCAAGTACCCAGAGTATATTAAAAGATGTGAAGAATATTCATAGGTACAATTGTGTCATCTATGATAACATCGATTTCGTCCTTCTTACGGGGATTCGAGATGAAAGCGAAGTGCCGAATTGATATTCAAACGTCGCGCTCTTCCGCCAAAGGGTGGAAAGGTGACGCGCATGCGCGTCGATCCAAATTGTGCCCCGTTTTAGCGCATGAATGGACGCGGAGTACCTCAGTGACGCGCGAAACGCGCACCCGACAGGAGGGTGGTTTCGAGCGTCGGAGCTTCGAAGCAGCGTGACAGGACTTTCAGGACTAAAAACACTCCTCGTCCGTCACGTGTGACTATTGGATATGCATTTCTCCATGATTCTAAAAAGCGAATAAAGTTGTCGGTTTCCCCAAATTCTCTGAAAAAAAAAAAATATTATTAAAGCCCTGCCTTCAGAGATGGATACGCGCTGTAACGAGCAAAAAGAAAATTGCATCTCTCGAGCTGTACATTGAAGTTTGACGTTACAACAAGCGAAGTTGGGAACATCGGAAGTGACCCCGTCAAAACTAAATAAAACGTTAAGAAATGAGGACTCGTCGAATCCACTGAGAACATCAATTAAAGATCCCCAGCGAGGAATTGAAACAGCGTTCGCAGAAAATGTTCTTGAAATTATTCCGATAAGCGACAAGGATCCTATATACGATTTATAAGGATCATCGGGAAGGGTTGAAAGGTATTAGAAAAAAGTCTCGCCTGTTAAACCGATGCCTGAAGATTTTAAAAATGAGGACTCATCGGATCCACCAGCAGCTTCAATTAAAAGATCTCGGTCTTCTTCAGGAAGGAACCACGTTGAAATTGTTAGGAAATGTGGAAGAATTTCTATCGAGAACTATGGGAAAATCGAATTGCCAATCCGGAAGGATACTGCAGAAGAGCAAGAAAAATTAATGAAATTCCTGGGAAAGATTTAACCAATGCTTTTGATCGTTACTTATTAAAGAAATGAGGATATGCAGAAATGCAGGAATCTTGTTTCCAGTGGGATATTTATAAATATTTTAAAACTTCCCATTTCGGGGTCGCAAGCTTTATGTTGTGTAGTCGTAGAATTTTAATCTTAATCGAATGATGCGTTGAAAATAATTAGAAATAGCGAAACCACCTTAGCGTGTCCGGGTCTACTTTCAAGTAGAAAATATGTCGCGACGTTAGGATGCAAAGTGTCGATGTGCGAGGGATATTGAGAACTTCCTCTTCTTTGTGCCCCGAGGAAAGAAACGCGTTATTGACTTCGACTTATAACATTTATCGGCCAAAGGAGAATTCGAAAAAG